GAGAGAGAGAGAGATTACATATAAGGGAGAAGAGAGTTGAAGAAATCGTAAACGAGGTAGGATCGTGTAGCGATTTTTATTATCACGTGATGCGTACCGTTCGAATTTTGCTCCCATTTACCGCGAAACATTACATCTCCACTAAGCGTATGCACAATGCAAAAGAAAAAAAAAGGAAAAAGAAGAGAAAGAGAAAAAGACAAAAAAAGAAGTAGCTTTGCGCGGCGATCCGAGTGTAGCTAAATAAAACGCGTGATCGCGGGAATATAAGGAAATAATAATCTTTCAGTGGTGTATGTTTTTTCCTTTAGTATAGGTAGCTCATAAACTCATAAGCATCACATATTAATAACGCGTGTAAGGATTAATCGTTAAGGATTCCTCATTAAAGTACGCATGTCGAGTCTAAGGTATAAGGTCGGGGTGTGTGTATCGGATTTCGGATTTTGCCTACGTACACGACTGACACGTGTTACCGGATGAGACTTTTTATACTAAATGAAAAAGAGTAACATCGCGAATAATAATACACAGTATGAGAAAGAATACACGCGTCGTACGGCCGGGGCTCCTACGACCCAGTCGCCGGCCGTCGCATTTCACGGATCGTGATATGTCCCTTTGGTCCGTCGAATAAATTTAGAAACGCGGGAGTCTCCGCGGGGGAATTTCGCCGATTTCGTCGCGTTTCTAGATTCGTTTCGAAATCTCGGTTTCTAAGTTCAAGTTTGAAATTCACTTTAGGCCTCGATCATCGTCGAATTTTTCTGTTCTGCTGTGCGGACAAAGGATAAAGAATTCGTCGATCGGCTGTAAATGTCCAGATCGTTCCTCGGGGAATGATCTGCCTGCCGTAAAATACAATTTGGTGTAGTATCAATGGCATGGAACCTTGGTTTTCTTACGATCGGCATTTACTTTTCCGAAATGTTTTGATTCTTCTTATAAAATTATATAGATATATATGTATGTAAAGATATATATATATACATATACATATATATATCTGCGTGTGCATACGCCATTTTGAGTTGCGATGATTCAGGAATTTCACGGTAAATCACCGTTGTAATCTGTAAGTAGTATATTCTTTTGTACATAGTGCTCTGTGTAAAAGTGACACAGTAAGATAGAAGAGAGAAAGAGAGAGAATGAAAGTGAGAGAGAGAGATTTGTTAGCATTATGAGCGTTAGGGCTGACATCAATTAGCAACATCAATTAATGATTGTGATTGTGTACATATATATATATATTTTTTTTTTAGGAAATGTTTTTTTTTCTAGAAAAAGAAATTCCGACTTTATGGAATCAATATATTAAATCGCAAAATTATATGTAAAAATTTTTCGGGATGTTTGTCAGGATCTCCAAATCATCAAGATTGATTGAAATATCCAGAATTAATCGGTAATTAATTGATGTTGCCAACACGATCGAATTTTAGCTTCCCGGCGGAGAATCGATGGAAAACAAGCGAGATTACAGAAACGAAATCGTGTATGCGCACCTCCTTCGAAGAGCGACGTTCGCGATTTTCGGCAACGAGCGCGTTTCTGTGATGACATTTCGACGCACGTGCGTATGAGTACGTCCAGAGTACAAAATCCGCAAGAATGACAGAGGGATGATTGACGCATTGCGGTCAAAAGATCGCAGAAACGCGCGAGTCGAGCTTCAGCAGGGGGGTGCAAATGGAGAAATACCGGATACGTGTGTCCGGACGTGTATCGACACGAGGGGAGGAGGGGGGGGGGGAGGTCGCCCGCGTGACTCGGTGATTGCGAAAAGAGTGCGTGTTTCACATAACGTATATCTTTGGAAAATAGGCATTACTTACATGCAAAGTATAGAATGTGTATGCGCGTATATAGACATACATTCGCTGGAGAGCGAGACGATGGGGGTGTGTTGTTTCGTCTCGTCTCCTTTACTTTTCCACATGGGGATGATCTGTGCCATCGGCTGCTGATCCCGGCGCCTCGGGACCGGAAGCAGGGGAGTCGGGAGCATCCCGACGAGAAACGCGATGCACCGTCGTTCCCTCGGTTCCGAGATGTTACCGATTTATAATCTCAAGATTTATGCGAGTTGAAGTGAATTTCGTTTCGAAAACAAGAAAAAAAAAAAATTAAACGACGCGACGCTTAATTGTCTCTCCGACGTTGAAGCTTTCAGTCGATATCTTTATATATACATATATATTTCTTTTAGGAACTTTCTTTTCCGATATATGATTTCCGATAGATGATAATGATCCGCATGATAACTTGTGATTGTTTATTCGGATTCCTCTGAGAACTGCCTTGCTCGATAAGACTCCGGTATCGAGACAGATCATCTTTCCCAAAAGAAGAGAGGAAAAAAAATACGAGCGACTTTTTGAAGAAATTGTTAAAGCTGTGCGTTGAGATATATGCGATTTTTATAGAGTACAATCGGTTCTTTCTAAAATATTTTCGAAGAAATCATGTTTCATGAAACTCGCATGTTTCTAGCGATTGCACGGAATTAATCTTGACGTGCACATTGTACTTTAATGCAGCGTAAATCTGCGCGCTATCGTAAAGAGAAACGAGTGCGAGAACGTGTCGACGATATTTACATTTACCTGATAATTCGCAGTGAGTTAGTGAAAAAACGATCGGAATGATGAAGTCTCTTCACGGAGCTTTTCCGAACAATCTCGCGAAATCGAAGCATAAATTTTCAATGTATCGGATGCAATCGGTATGCGATTAATAAATTAATTGTATAATTTCAGCGGTGCTGTTCTGTCCTTGTTTAACGGACGGCTGGGTGATGCACGCGATAATCTGATTATCGTCAAATTTGGCGCCTTTAACGAGTGAGAGAATACGAGAAGAGAAAAGCAAATAAGTAAAAGATTTATCATGGATCAAACTGAGGACCTTCACTTTCCACTCGATTCCTTTTCTCATTCCCAATTGATCCAGGAGGAATCATCAGTTTCCATTTTTTATTTCGATTTCGTTTAATTTATCAAATGCTACCATCATATATTCTTGTCTTACTCTGTTTTCTTTTAGCTATTGAGTCTTTTATCTTGCATGAAAATACTTTAGTTAAAAATTAGATTTAAGGAAAACAAGAAATACTTTTCTTATTTTCTTAATAAAATTATATAAATGAAGGAAAAAAAAAAACAGAAAACTTCATCAAGGAAATAGATAAAGCGGGTCTTTACATCATTTCCTAAACGAAAAGATAGCTTCGTAGATCAATATGCATGAAATTTTGAATTTATTTATCAATATAGAATTTATTTATCAATATAGTATGATCAGTCAAAAATGTAGAAACAAATGTGACATATATCTATATTTATTTAGAAAGATTTTAATCCAGCTGCATTTTCGAGATGCTTTACGTTGATGTCGCGACACACCCTCATGGTGACGACTTCATGGTCACTTTCATTTTCTATCGTGAATATTATATTTTCATCTCTCTTCGTACACAACTTTAAGTTATTGCGCGAGACTTGATACGAGATCCACGATAGATGTTTTACTGTTACTTTCCTTTTCTCATATCCTCTGTCGTACAAGAGACACGTTAAATAGAAAAGAGACTAGGGGTGAAATAGACGAATGCGAAGTCTGTCCCCACGTGGGGATGTTTAGAATCGTCGTGGATCATTTAGGGACGAGAAAAGAAGTCGACGAGTCTTCGATCCGATCCTCGACAGACTTACTTTCGCTTCTCTTTTCTCGTTCGTATCTTCCACGTACTAGGAACCTTCTGAACCGCTTGCTTCATCCGTATTATATGTTCTGAATCGAGCGCATATTTACCTATTCTACCTATTTAAGCGAGATAAATATTGCTTATAAATATGCTTATAAGTATTGCTTATAAATATTAATTAATTTATTTTTAAATTTTATGCTCTCGAGATCTCATTGCATTCATCAATTTTTCTGGCCATGAAAATTTACAATAAAAATTTCATTTCGATTATGCATAGAGTAATGATAAACAAATGTTATATATTTTTACGATTAACGGGTCTGTCTAATAAAAATTTACATCATCGTACTTAAAGGATATCATCATAAGTGTACTATACAGAGTGTCTCTAAAGTCTAAGATTCAAGATTAAGTCCATATTTTCATCATATGTCTCCCTTAATATTCTTTTGTTTGAAACATTTTTCCATATCTAAAGCTGTTTCCGAGATATAGGATCTGGGTCAGACTTTAGAGACACCCTGTATATTTTTGTATTCAAGAAATAGTTCTCTCTGATTTATTTATGTTTTTAATCACAAATTTACGCGTTAATTACTCTTAAATATTTTTTGTCCAAACAGATGTTATTCAATTGCGGTTCACGAGGTTCGCATTGATCTTTAAATTCTACTATGATTTTTCGTCGCGAGAACTGGATGAAATCTTAACGTTAGTAGCATTTAAAGATTAAAAACAATTGCGCGAGATCGATTCGGTTTCGCAAGAAAAAAGAAAAAGAAAAATCACATCGAGTCCTTTCGCTCCTTTGTGAAACCGGACAATCTCGCGCGACAATTTAAGGCTTTATATTAAAAAAAAAAAAAAAAAAAAAAATAATGAATAAAAGAAAGGAGAAAATGTGTAGATAGAAAATGAAAACGATCTTCAACGTAATAAATGCGTCTCGGACGTGCAGCGCGAGTCAGTTTGCTTTCGGATAGATCTCAAGCTATGCAATTGTACAAACGAGCAATCTACTCTTCAAGGATTCTACACATCGGATTTATATAATAAAGAAAAAAAGGGGGAAGGAAAAGGGGGGTAAGCGACGAATCCTGCGCGGCGTGATGAGTCGCGTGATGAATCCGCCAAATCTTTATACATATATATATATATTTATACATAAGTCATTCGATTTACGTTTCTTTACATGGACTGATCATATTATATTAATAGCGCATTCGTGACCTCTCGCTGCGCGCATAAAACTTTGTAGGTGACTCGCCACACGAATCACGCGAATTGTATTGAATTAAATTAATCCTCAATCGGTAGGAGAGATGAGGAGTCACCGTGCAAATAATATGAGAAAATTATATTTGTTAAAATTTGAATCGCTATCATTGTAAAAATGAAATTAACGCGATAAGCATGATTTAAAAGGCGCATAATTTCATTAATAGTTGCATGATGAACTTTGTACCATTTAATGATCAAGCATAAAAAAAACTAATTTTTTTTCTTTTCTTGTTTTTAAAATAGGGAACTGCATTTCTCTCTATTCCACATATCGCAGAGTTGAGACACGTATAAGGAAATTGTTCGAGTCAGAAGAAGCGAATTTTTTTTTTGTACACGACTTATTTCTATGTTTTTTTCTTTTTCCCTTGGGTAAAGTTGTTTTGCTTTTGTTATTTCGCCAAGTGAAATTATACGTTTTGCAAGAGCGAGCGGAGTTGTTATGATACCGATGTCATAATAACGAGATACAATTAGCACATATAACACGGACATGGCATACAGATAACGACTTGAAACCACGTAACGGAGCCCTATCTGTGTATAACGAGTAGGGTATCGATATCTTATAATCAGGCAAAAGGTTGTTCTATGTATGATTGTGCGTGTAACATTGTTAATAAACATACGATGCTTATGAAGGTTTCCCTCTTTCCATTCGTTCTACTTCACATTGCTATTCCTAAGAACATAATTACATTTAAATAACGTATCCAATCGTAATTATTCCACAACTGAAAATATTATAAATATATTTTATAAGAGAAAAACTGCGTACAAAGTAGTAGCGCTTTATTTGCCGATACAAAAGTTTTTGAATATAATATCTAATATTTCATTAGTGCTCACATGTCCCGTTATCCTTCCGAGTTCCCGCATTGCTTTGTGGATTTCCTCTGCCGCTATGGCCACGTCGTGCTGCTCATTGGCGCATAATTCGAAGTAATTCTGCAGATGTCTCAGGCACTGCGACAAGTGATTTCTGTGCCTCGCCTGACTAATAGTCGGACTCTCCGCAGATGGATTGCCGCATCTAAGCAAGATATCATTACAATGTAAATTGCATTTATGCAAATGTCGTATGATTTGTCATATCGCATACGTACATATTACCGAAACAATCTGTCAGCGATCGCAGCAAATCCCGAAAGCCGTCTTCCGTTTTGCAGGATACTAAAACTGCTTCGGTATCACCGAGTCGCCATTCCTCCTCCTCCTTTAATAAATCTTTTTTATTCGCTATCACGATGAAACGTTCCTTCCCGAGCTTCGCCAGCAACTCGTGTATCCCTAATGACAACAAATACCCCCGTATATAATCTTGGTACGTCATTCCACTGGTCGCGCATTTCAACGCGTCCACTACGACGATCACGAAATCGGCGTTCTCCGCGTGGCTTCTCGCTCGACGGACACCCTCGACCTCGACGATGTCCTCGGTGTCCTCTGTGATGCCGGCGGTGTCCGCTATCAGCACAGGATAACCCGAGATATTCGCGGTCAGCTCGATGACGTCCCTCGTGGTGCCGGCGACGGGCGTGACGATGGCGGCGTTTCGCTGCACCAGGTGATTCAGCAGGCTGCTTTTGCCCACGTTGGGCTCGCCGACGATCACAGTTCTCACCCCGCTGCGTAGAATCTCCCCCCGCCTACCGTCAGCTAAATGCTCCTCTACATCCCGCATCAGTTTTCTGAGAGCGCGATGTGCATTTTGTACCACGTCGCTCTCGATGTTTTCTTCCTCGCCGAAGTCGATGTACGCCTCGAGACTGGCCACGGATTCCGACAGCACCTTCCTCCAGCTATCATACAGTTTACGCAGGACTCCATCGGCCTGTAGCAACGCCTGCTTCCTCTGGCATTCAGTCTCGGCCTCTATCAAATCGGCCAAGCCCTCGACTTCCGTCAGGTCCAACTTGTTATTGTAGAAGGCACGTCTGGTGAATTCACCCGGCAACGCCGGATGCACCTGCAATCTCGAAAGAGCCTGCATCAATCGAGTCAGGATCGCTGGCCCACCATGCACGTGAAACTCCACAGAATCCTCACCGGTGAACGAGTGCGGACCTAGAAATGAGTTATTCTAATTGGGCATGAATTATAGACAGAGAAAGTTACTTTTTAAAAATAACTCGTTACTCGTTATCGAGTCAAAAACATAACTAATTACCATTACCAGTTATTTATTCTAAGTAGTAATTCATCGTTATTGTTGTGTACTTAAAAAGGCATTGTTCATTACTAGTCATTATTTTCTTCGTTATTTTTTAATACTAAAACGAGATCAGATTAAATAATAAAAACAAATTTTTTTCGTATTTTTTGCTAAACTATCCGTATAAAAACGATAAAATTTCATCTTAAATTTGCAAGATTTAAAAAATTTAACAAAATTTTAAAAATAATTCAAAATAGAAAATGAAAAAAAAATTGATTTTTCATTAAATTCATGAATACAGCCAAATTTATACTTTGTTCAGCTTCAATTCTCTAGTTACAAATTTTTGTGAACATGGAATATATAAATTAAATCATAAACACATTTCAGTTTTCGATCGATATTCATGTTATATCTAGAACTGTATTCAGAGAATAATTTATCATAAATCAATCACAAGAATAGATTTTACAAATTTTACCGCCTTTATACATTTGTAACCAGACAATTAAAGATAAAAAAGATGTAAATTATACCATAAATACATTTAAGATATAAAAAGTAACGATGAAAGTAATTTAAATTTGTTACTGAAAAAATGTAACTACATTATCGTTATAGTTATACTAAAAAAAAAAAAGTAATGCCGTTATTCGTTTTCAAAAAAAGTAAACTGTAACGGTAACTGCAGCGTTACAAGTAATGCATAATTTTCCAACTCTGATTATAGGAAGTGCATGTTGAGAGAGGGTGATGAGGGTGAGAATTACGCATACCAGGGAACCATAAGCAAAGCCCATTGTCGATTACTTCCTTCGTTTCCGGATCGTGTATCTTCCGCAAGAAAGCTCTCCTTGGTTCCAGCTTGGATATGTTCGTCATCTTTTTCAGCGCCTCCAAAGATCGACTTCCCGATACTCTTACCACCGCCACGCCGCATTTTCCATGACCTTTAAAATGTATTTGTTCATGCATTTAAGATGCAATTTTATTTTTTTCTTATATTAACATAATTCATATTTATATGTCAAAAGAAAGAAATAAGTCGGTAATATAAAAGGAAATCGATTTTGCACGCTAATTTCTGTGCGAGTCGCATAAAACGTCGAAGCGGCATAAAAATTAAAGAGGGAAAAGAAAAAATGATTAATTCAAATATGCGATGTCAATCGAACGCTTTTGGATTTGAAATGTAAATAATTTCATTGAATTGTAAATTTTCACGCCATTCGTTCGCAGAGAGAAAATAAAATCATCTTTTCAGTTCTTCAATCTTCGTGACTTTGACAAAATTTCGATGAACTAATACTTATATTGTTAGCATGAATAAAAATATTGAATTTTTATGACTTGATAAATGGAACAATGATTAGATTATACATAATGAGTTATGCAGTTAAATTTAACTTAATGTTGATATGTCAAGGAAAATAAATTATAGAGTTAAAAGTTTTGCTCAAGAAGAATATTGGTTGCTCAACCATGACAAAAAATTATTAAAAAGAACAATTTTTTATACTGATCGGATCATCATATAAATAGACTTGGATTGTAAACAACTTAAAAAGTAAGGAAATTAGTATGGCTTTTATAGATCATTAAAAAAACATCTGTAATTAACATTTATTGACAAAAATTTTTAGTCACAAATATCTCTTGAAATTTGCAAGAAAGAAATTCCTAAGAAAAAGAAATGTAGCAGAATTAAATTAAGATTAATATATTACTAAATATTACTAAATATTAATAAAAATAAACACGACAGAAGAACCAACCATGTGACAGGAATCAAGAGGGGGGGAGAAACACGCGGCAAAGCGCTGTCTTGTAAACGAGCAAGATTCTTAACCTGTCGGGGGGAGTCTCGCAAAAATTAGCGTGCGGACGTAGTGTTTTGACAGAACCTCCCTCCCCGAAAATACGTGAATATAACAACCGGAAGACAGGGCACAGATGGTCGTGCCCCTGCGGTCACTCGAGGGGCAGTTGACGTGGTAGCGCATCGGCTCACGCGATGCGACGATTCGCGCGCTTCGGAAGGATCCATGAAGAAGACACTTGCGGAAGAGCATCGGAAATGAATGCGGTAAGAACGCGCGCATAACGAACGTATTGTCTGCAAGCAGCGACGAACATCGACGAAACGAGGACGAGACGACGGTTGTGCGAGCGAACGACGACGACGACGACGACTCACAATCGCCGCGAGATCGCACGGCGAGATTGCGAAGCGTAGAAACGACGAACGTCGAAGGTGAAGATCGACACTGCCGAGAATCAAGATTTCCGAGTCGTTGGAAATCCGTAATGCCACACGTTCGACTCTGGAGTTTACGAAATTCGTAGTCTTCCTCGATCACTGCGACCGCCATTTCACGTCGGCTTGCGGCGGCACGTTTAAACGTCTACGGGTTTAGCGTGGTTGTTTACTCCGACATGCGTTTCTTCTGCTTATTCAAGATATATTTCCAGGTATAACAAGAGATCTATTGTCTTCACACGATGGTGGATTCCGAGACGAAATTGATAGCGAGCAAGATGGTGCTGGACAGATGCGGTAGCTGGGTGGAATTGCAGAAAGATTTTTCCTATCTGGAGGAAGAGACTGCCCAGTGTAAGTTGGATGAGTTCGAGTATGATGATTGGTGCAATACGGATTCGGAATTCGACTCTGTCTCTGAATGTGGTGGGAAGAAACGTAAGGTGGGAATACAGCTCAAGGCTGAAGTATTGGATCTGGTCTGCGAGTGGAAGGAATGTACATTTCGTAACAGTCATCTGGACCAGTTCCTGAGGCACATCTCGAGTCATATACCGAACGTACAAATAGGCATGAAAGACGACAGCGAGATCTACATGTGTCAATGGAAAGATTGTCCATTTGACAGTGATGTATCCGATGAAATAGTACGACATATTAATTATCATGCCTATCACACTAAGCTTAAATGTATCGGATCTAATGTTCGTGGAAGGATCAAGCTACCTGTAAGTAGACAACTTATATCATCAACAGATTCGAATACTGGAGATTAAAGAAATTATATTATTAAGTGTATTATAATAGTGTCTTAGTACATAGGATGTTTACTCCTTGAAATTGATTTTTCACTCTTAAAAATCAGGGATTAGAAAATATTAAACATAATAAGATAAACTTATTTCAAAGATACATTTAAGAATTCTCTAATTTTATTTGAAGTTTGGAAAAAATCTAAGAATTCTCAGTGAATTTTTGTACAAGATTTGATATTTTGTAGTATATTGTTTTTACAGAAATGCCACAGAGATCCAGAATGGAGGAACATCATTGATACTCCGCCGCCACACCTATGCAGATGGGAGGAGTGCTTGAAATTATTCACAAATTATCAAATGTACTTGTATCATGTTACCGTACACATGAGGGATTGTCCGCGCGGCAATCGAGTCAAGAACGGGGTCAATTGTAAGTGGACCGGATGCAATGGCAAATATCCTAGTCTACACAAACTCAGAGACCATGTGAAATGTCATACCAAAGAAAAAGTAGTTGCGTGCCCAGATTGTGGCGTCACATTCGCCTCCAACACGAAATTTCACACGCACTGCCAGCGACAGATTCCGTTGGAAGGTAATAAATTAATCACACGTTTCGAATCTTTTATTCTACTTTATCTAAAATCATTGTTTCTAAAACATGCCATCAATTTTTATAGTGCAGGGATTTCGTTGCTCACACTGTAACAAATTTTATCCGACTGAAGGGATCTTGCGCGACCATATGAGATCCCATGTATTCAATTATAAATGTTCTTTATGCGATATGAGCTGCGAATCACCTGCGAGTTTAGCGAAGCATGTTAGGTACCGTCACATGTCGACTAGAACATTTCCGTGTCAGTTGTGTTCACACTCTGCAAAGTCACAACAGGATCTCGATTCTCATATGACTGTCCATACTAATGGACCTAATTTTTCTTGTTACTTTGAAGGATGCCTTTATACATGCAAAGGAGCTTATACTTTGGATAGGTAATTTATCTTCATTAGCAATCTTCATCAGTTTTGCAATTCTTTATTTGACAATTGTTGAATATGTTACAGGCACGTAGAAAGAGTACATGGTTTAGCGGTACGATGGTACTGCTGCCACGAATGCCCGATTAAATATCGAAAGAGTTACAGACTGACGAAACATCTTATAGAAGCCCATCAATTGCAACTGCCCAGTGGACATAAACGCTTTCACTACACGCAGGATGAAGATGGGTGTTATAGACTTCAAATGGTTCGATACGAGGCTGTGGACGAAGAAAACGTATCACCTGTCGAAGAAGCAGATTTACCAGACAAAAAGTATAAACTAGTATTAAATCAGACTAACTTGCTGACAGAAGTGAAGGTGAGTCTCGCGTACTGATTAATATTATTTAAAATTTTCACTTTATAGAATCGTTAATTTATTAACGTTTTATTCCAGATTATTGAGGATAACGAAGAAACTGTACAGAATGAAAAAGTTGAAGGTCAGATGGAAGTTGTACAGGATTCACAAGAGGACACTGTTGAGAACGATACCGATAAATCTGTACCTGTTGTATCTAATATTTTAATATCTATTGATGAAATCGATGAAAAAGGAAATATTATTAAACAGGAAATCGTTGAGATACAAGAAACAAAAGAATTACCGCCGTCGGAACAACCACTATTAATTTTAACATAAGCAATTTTTTTTTTAAGTTAGGACAGTTCTTGATACATATATTTTTATATTATTATGTTATACACACTGCGATTTTACATTATATAGACTGTACCTTAGATGTTTATTATTGTGATGAACTTTATATGAATGTACAGATTTATTTTTTTTTGTTTTTAAATTCAGGGAAAATTTTCTTTTTATCCATTCTTGACGAATTAAATTTTCAGAAATGATTTACACAGTAAGAATTTCATATATTGAAGTATATCAAATAACAAATCAAATATTTATTTTTACAGAATATTTTTATCAGAACACTCTCCTTACTGTATACAATCTTACAGAATGTTTAGAATATAGTTTACTGTGAAATCAAGGTATACACAATAATTGCAAAATGAAATTGTCAGCATGGTGATACCATTTTATAAAAATAATAAATTACCTGGTGCTCTTGTATCACTATATCTAGAAAAAGTTTTATGTGAAAAAAGAATGATTATCTTCTTTTGAATCCATATTTCTTTCTTTCGTAGAAGAGATCTGTCTTTGAGCTTCCTAAATTAACAATTTTGGGACAGCCATCTCTCTGAAAACATAACTTTAGGATATAGAATTTGTAATAGGAATTCACGAAAGTGAAGACGATTGATGATATACTTACATCTTTTTCTTGTATCGTGCACTCTTTACAATAATATGCATCCGACACGCCGGGACCACCGCATATCACGCAGCGTCCCTGATAAGAACCGTAATTACACTCGTCGCATATTCTGACCAGGGTGCAAGGCCTCACGTAGGAATCGCAAATAACGCATTTGCCATCACATTTTTCGCACAGCCGACCGATAGCTAGAAAAAAAAAACAAGCTTTTCAATGAACTAACAAAGAATCAACGAAACGCCTAACCTTAACTTACCGACTCCTGGTTGCTTCCGACAAAAAATCAAATCAGGATGATGTTTGGCCATGTTCGCTGTACGCCGTTATTTGTTCCTTGAATCGATTGAAAGTTTAGAAAATAATTATATTGACATCTGAATGTTCATTTAACGATTCCGGCTTCTCTCCGTTACTCAAACTTGTCAGTCGGTTTGTTGTCACATTGCGAGTGCGTTCTAAAGTGTGATGCACCAAGGTGCCACCACTTCACATGTGTAGCAGGGGTGCGTTTAGAAACAACACTCGGGTGTACTTAGTTACATTTTATCCTTGTTTAATATTCGATGAAAAACAAGGATAAAACCTGATATATTCAGTGTTTCTGAACAAGGATAAAACATGACATATCATAATGTTTCTCTTTCAGCTGAACTTTTTGTATTATCATCTTTTTTCTCTTTTTTGTCCAAAATGAAGAGAAAAAGAGAAAAGATAAACGGTATAATTTCTGCAAACGAAACAGGCTTATTAGAACTAAAATTTACTATATTTATATATACTATACGTCACGTGAACTATAGATTTTTAGCGCTGACAGTGAATTTTGGAACGCCGTCATAAGAGACTGCGGTTTGTATCTTTCCCACGGGAGAGAAGGTTAAGAAGACCACGCCAACAATTTATAACATATAACAATTTATAACAAGACTAACTTATCGTCAAAAATGGCTGAAGCGATGCGTCAGACCGTTGCTGGAATGCTCAAAGGTATTGAAAGGTACGTATTTTTTCAATCTTACTGCACTTTGTTGTCCGTATGAGTAAACTTCATGACAATATCAAAAACGCGAATTTCTTGTGAAATTCTCTCGCGAGAATTGTTCTATAGAAATCAAATATTAAAATTTACAAGGCTCAACGTGACATTTCGATTGTAGTCTTTTAATTTTGAATTAATTATTCCTCCTATTTTGATTCTGAAATATGCTTTTAGGTACAATCCCGATAACCTCACGACTTTGGAAAAGTATGTGGAAATACAATCAAGGGAAAATGCTTACGATCTGGAGGCCAATTTGGCTGTGCTGAAGCTTTATCAACTGAATCCGCATCGATTTAATATGGACATTACATGTCAGATATTACTGAAGGCATTAACCAATCTGCCACATACTGATTTCGTGTTGTGTAAATGCTTGCTCAGTGAAAAGCTTGTAAGTTTTTTTTCAAGAAAGAACTACAAAAAGTTTTTTTCTTATAAAAACACAACTATATCAATTATATTGATTTCTAGATGTCAGAAAGTCCTATTGATCAAATTATGTATTTGGGAGATATCCTAGAGCGATGCGATTTCCAACATTTCTGGGATAGGGTGTTGTCCATGTCAGAGCTTTGTGACAGGATCGTAGGTTTCCAGGATTCAATAAGGAAATTTGTGTGTCATGTAGTGGGAATCACATTTCAAACGATAGATAAAGGACTTTTGGCACAATTGCTTGGTGGTGTAGATGGTACAATATACAAGTTTGTTATCTCTTAAATATCCAAAATAAGAATCTATATCATTTATTTTTTCACTTATTCATAATTTTTAGTTCTTAATTCTCCAATTCCCAATCAACCATCTTAAAACAGATCTCTCTCTC